TAAAAGCCCTAGAACTCCAAACACATGAGATCTAACCAAAATAATGAGAAAGGTGCAGACTTTTACCTTCCTCAGAAGCTCTGGACGATCTATCACTGGATCCAACTTTCCCTCTCTTGATCCTTGCTTGATCTCCTTCTCTTCTTCTCAAATGATGCACTAAAAATCCCAAGATAGCTTCTCTCTCACTTTCTAGCTCAAATGACCTTTAGGGTTTGCTTCCAGGGAAAGGGTGGCCGCAAATGAGGCTATAAGTGCCTTTAAATAGGTCCCAAACCCCGGAAATTAGGGTTTCTCTAATCAGCGCCTACTCGGCGAGTCCCTCTCCTCGGACTCGTCGAGTCCACTCATTAAATCCACGGGAGAAACCCGACTCGACTCGGCGAGTTGGACCCTCAACTCGTCGAGTCTCTCCTTTAATCACAAGATTAACCTACACCATAATACCTCTAAAAATCCGGATGTTACAGTTTTTTCAGAGTACATTTTGTTAACTTCGTTGTTTCTGAATTATGTAAAAACACGGCCATCAGAGATTATTCACCGTCCTACCAATTCACACCAGTTGTGTACTCTTTTTCATTCCTCAATCGATCAGTTTGTATCTAAATTCATTCATAGAAAAACACATAACCAAGAATCTATCATTAGGATATAACCAGTTCAAGCGCTCCAACACATATGTTTCTCTCTCTCTCTCTCTCTCTCTCTCTCTCTCTACTTCGACTACAAATTATCATCAAATCAGCCACATGACACTGATTGTTCCTGGTTATTCATCTCTCATTGGTTTTAGAGAATTAAACGCAACTCATACTCTCTACATCCACATTTAGGAATTATCATGACATAACGTTACACTTGTTTGTCCTTTGCCTCTCTCTTGTGCCACGACACTAATGAACGACTAACCTTGATGTATAATATGTGTATCCATATAACGTATATATGTTTTAGGTTTGAGGCATATAATGCAATCGGGAAGCAAGAATGTTTAACTAAGTTATTACCCACTTACTTTTCTTGTTACCACAAGAACGATCGAGTGAGTGAATGAAAGAGATTGCACAACTGTTTGAACTGATATGACGATGTATGATCTCCGGTGACTGTGATCTACATAATCCGACAACAACAAAGTTAACAAAAAGTGCGGTATTTTTTGAACATTTTGGAAACTTCGTTATGCTTTTAAGTCGTTTTTCGATTTACCTGAAGTATTTGGTTACCACAAGGTTTTATTTGAATACATGTGTACTTCGTTGGTATTCTATGTATAAATAGTATACTTTATGTTTGTACTAAAAAGACAACTATGATTTTTTTGAACATTTTGAAAACCGGGTAACCTGATTGTTACCTACAATAGTCGGTTCAATGGTATTTTATATACTAAAAAAACAATGGTCTTTTTTGTATATTTTTAAAACTTCGTTATCTTTTTAAATCATTTTCCCTAAACTTAAACTATAATTTGATCTACAAATACTTTAAAGGTTATATATTTAAAAAAATTATCACAAATGCTCTCGTCCCAATTTCCTATTTTTCGCTTGGATGGTCCCCAAAATTTTAGTTAGGTTCCGTTTGATAGTTTCTGTCTGGGAAAGTGCTGTCTAGTAAAGTGCTGTCTGGGAAAGTTTTCTGACTGGGAAAGAAACCATGCTGTTTGATTGTACATCTGATTAACTGTGCTGAATGATGAAAAAAAAATAATTCAATAAAAAATAAATTTAGAAAAAGTTATTTAAAAAAATTAATAATCCAAGAAAGAAAGAAAGAGGCCGATTTGGTGTATAATTGTCTTTCCAGCCCATTCAGCCAGAAAGATATGATTTTGGAGCTTTCTCGGAAAGGTATATCTTACCGGGAAAGACCATTTTTTTTGTGCAAATCAAACAGTCTTTCCGGTCCATTCAGCCAGAAAGATCTGTTTGGACCTGGAAAGATGCGTATCAAACGGGGTCATAGTTGTGTATTTTGTTCCTCATGTGGTGTTTAATTTTTGCTATTAATTGACATTTTTATCCTTACTGTAATATTTATTATTACTTTTTGGCATTACTTTTATGTTAGATCTATAACATACAACATAGCTGTTTGTGGCAGTAAAGTCGTTCACCTCATCATGTCATTTTTTGTGGACAATATATTAAGAGTGGAATATTTGCAAGATAGTACATGATTTGATTATCTAGCACATGTTATATATTCCCACCATCAAATTACTCAACGAAAATAGTTATACTCAAATATAAGTTCCAAGGTTCAAGGTAAAGATGGTAGAAAATACTATGATAACATTTTTTGTAACTGCATTATAGATTTAAAGAAGTTTCATTAAAAGATGGTAGAAGATATTGAAAGAAACTATTATTTGGTCATCAACGAAAGTTATCAATGTAAAACAATAAATAACACACAATCTCTGGAATTAGTGAGCCTCGTGAATAAATCGCGAAACAAGATTGCATACAAGGGATAAATTGATTTAGTAAGGAATCTCGAGAAAACTTAAGAAACTTTTTATTTTTTTTATTTATGAGAACAACGCGACATTATTTTCCATCACAAAACACAATATCAAAGAATAATCTTGTAACAATTTGTCAATTAAAATGCAGAATTGTTTGTTTGTATCATTCTGAGAGCGAGAGTTACAGAGGCAATGGAGTTAGGCAATACTCTCACAGCAAGAACATGTGCCAAACACTTAATGTTGAATCATGAGGTGCATTTTTAGAACAATGTGGACAAATGGATCTATATAGATATAAATAGAATCCATATAGGTCCAATCCTACGAGGCATCCGATCGAAAATTTCGTTTAATACATTAATTAAAGTAAATTTACATGCTACTAATCTCATTCATGTTTTATTAATAATAAAATTGATCTTTGTTAAAAATAGGTAAACAAAACAAAAAACACTCAGTCTACACCAAAATTCTAATTTGACATTGTGTGTCTTTTGTGTTGTTTACCCTTAAATATATTATGGATATCATTTAAAATTTAGATACAAATATAAAATACATTTACATGTGTGCAAAACTAAATCCCAACTCAAATTTTAAAATTGTATTTGGGCTTTAGGATCAAATTAAGTATGCGACAAGGAAAACAATATTAGTGTTACAAATTCATGTCTTAGTGGAACACTGCCAGGATTTCAATATTGTGGTTGCGGCAAGAGTCAAAAGTCAAGAAAGGATAAGAGCCATACAAACCATCACATTTTTAATTCACGTTCAACTTTTCAAGGTCGCTTGACAATTATAATTGAAGTAATTCGATAAACATTTGTAATTGAACAAATAATACAAATAATTATTTATAATATTTAAATTTGGTTGATGTAAGATGCAGATTTATGATTTTATGTTATAGTTATTAGGAATGTTTATCTACATGCATTAATTATGTGAAACTTTTTAATAATACATAGTGTTAACTTATTAACATTGTTTTTTATATAAAAAGGATGCTCATCAGAACATTTGAATCAAATTGTTCTAAAGATAAAAAAAAAAAAAGGAAAACCTAACTATTTTTCATAGTCTAAGAGGAGATAGCATTGAATTTATTATCAAACAATTTCAATAATTTGATTGTAATGATGAATTAGTTCAAGTGGAGCAAAATATATTCAAACATAATATTTTAATTTTTGATAATGTTCAATGAACACATAGAAAGGTAACACTACTAAATGTGGATGAAGTGAAATGAAGTTGTCGAAGAACCTAAAGAAAGAATAACTTGAATTGTGAGTGCAAGAAAATATGTCATATATAGATGAAAACATAGCCAATTTGAATGGGCCGCTGACCACAAAGAAGATATTCTAGTAACGCACCCTTTAAAAAATTTTGTGCAATCCTAATTATTTTTTCTGGGTCCGCCGATGCAGTGGCGAAGCCAATGTGTAATTAGTGGGGTCCAAGGACCCCTCTTAAATTTGAAATCCACCATATGTATAAATGTTCATTTTTGTAATTATATGGTCTTATAGTATTTGGCACCCACCAGTCAAGATTTGAAATAACCAGAAACTTCATTTTGCTCTTTCTTTTCTCCTTCTGGTCTTATTCTCCCGTTCTTTCTTTGTTTGAAATAGTTGTTTAAGAGAAAAAAAGACGGGGTACCGCACGGTCGTTGTCGCCGGATGCCGCCCCTTTTCACTTTTAAATAAGTCGTTAATGGGTAAGGTATAAAATGGACCCCATATGTGTTTCATTCTGGCTCCGCCACTGACTGGAGCCACTGACTGCATGCACCATATATGCTATATCATCTTTGCCACACCCCGAGAGAGAGAGAGAGAGAGAGAGAGAGAGAGAGAGAGAGAGAGAGAGAGAGAGAGAGAGAGAGAGAGAGAGAGAGAGAGAGCAACACGACAGTGGGGAGCTGAGTTCCCAAGCCATGCGACAGAAACCACACCAGGTGTTCACCATGGTAAAGACATGCCACATAGTCTTCACCTCCGTTTTGCCACATCCACATCCTCTAGTCTAAGAAACAAATGCTTTTGTTCAATGTTTACCATAAATACTTAACAAATATAGAGAATCTTATATTGCTAAGCTTGTGTACTCTAAAGGTCTTAGATAAACTATTTTGTTTCCCCTACAAGTTGTTTAATAATAAAACACAACTAAGTAATCTAGCACGTGAGGGGATAAACTATTTTGTTTCCCTTGCAAGTTATGGATGTAGTACATGCATATCCATTACATATTCTTTTTGAAATTTGCTTATAGTAGCTTCAATTTATTTCTAATAAGTGAAAACTAGTATATGATGCTCATGTGGGAAATTACCAATCTGTTAATAGAACATGGACTGATACACCCATTAATCAATTTCCTAGTGGTTAAAAATGTACAAAATAAAGATCATAAAACATGTGACTAAAAACGAAAATCCAATTCTGTTGATGAAACAATACATAAAAGATGTGACTAAAAATTAAAAAGCACTACACTTGATCACTATTTACTTGGACGATTGAAAAGAAGCTGAAGTCACTGCATGTGTCAACAACAGCATTTCATCGCCGCCACCCTCCTCCTGGTTACCTCTCGGACTGCTACCGGAGCTGCTATTTGAACGTGAAAAGACTCCGGTGGGTGAATACGAACACCATGAATGACGATTACTGTTTCCCCCATTAGATGTTTTCAAAGCTTCCCCTAATGGACCACCCATTGAATTCTTCCATGAATCTGGAATCGAATTTGAAGATGATGAGAAATCCGAAGAAGAATCCATGGACATCGTCAGTTGGGTGCTCCACTGCGGTTTATGTTCTTCCGGCCTACACCACCATCGGAATTTTGTAAAAGTTAAACAAGAAATTAAACATTTGTTCATCAAAATGATTTCTTTATTTCACCTGTTCATGGAAGCATTCTGGGGTTGTAATTGCAAGTTCTTGAACTGGTTGTTGACGCCATCTCCACCGCCACCGTCAGTCGCCGGAGCACCATTGTTGCCTTCCACAAGCTTTCTTGAACGATGACGACCTCTATTGATATGTTTTTCACAGTATTTCTGATCAGGTACAGCTTCTTTCGAGCACCGCCATTTCTTCCCGTCTGTTCTCCGGCACCTCCCTGGTTCTGGATCATTGTTCGCCGGAAAACCTAACCGGAAACCTCCCCATTCATCTTCCATTCCAAAAAAAAAAAAAAAAAAACTTTAACTACGAATGAGCCAATAAATACAAGAATATATAAGAAATTCAAATTCCTTACATAAACTGGGTGCATTTGAGGTTGAAGACGACCCGGAAAACACAAACGGGTCGAGTGATTTCTTGATGTGATTGATCAAAAGCGAAGGAACAGGGACATTCGCGACAAGATATTTGTAGATCAAAGCTTGGTGTTCGAGCTCCATCCATTGAGAAGGTGTAAAGGGTCCTTTCGAAAAGATAACACAAACAAAACCCTCAAATGAATTTGCATAAAAAGGCATACTTTTCAAGTTTCAATGGAAGATTATATTTGGGTGTTAAGTTCGATGTAAAGATTAATACCTCCATTTTCAATGTAAGCAGGTGGTGTCTGATAGGAAGACAACAGCGACATCTGGTTTTCATTCTTGAAAGAAGGTCTCATGGACATTGACATTGTCGTGTTGTATGGGTCGGGTCGGGAACTTTTGATGGGTCGTTGATCAAGATGTGGGTCTGGGTCTGATCTTTTCTGATTCAAGAACCAAGATTCGTGAATCTTGTGGTTGTTATTGGGGTTTTCACTGAAATTTGACATACTGAAATCCATGGCATTCAAAAATGACATGAAATTTATAGAAATTTCATGGAGGAAAAATAAAATTAAAGAGAGATAAGAGGAGAGAAATCTTGGAATGAGGAGTATATGGAAGACATAGAGACCATTTTGAAGTGGAACACTCGTCTTCTATTGAAGATTTGAAGGTGTTTGTGGCGCTTTTATATATTTTTGGCATTATTTGAGTTGAATTTGTTTTTGAGCATCTTTTATCATATAAGTTTTTTTATTTTGGAATAAGTTTTTACAAAGTTTTTGAATGATATTTTTTTTTCTTAATTTCTTTTTTACGATTTGAATACCAATATTGAATAACATATAAGTTTATACATATTAAATATTTGTAGTAATATATATTAGATAATCTATTAGATTAAATATACAAAATAAATATGAATATAAGTTATAAAAGTTTTATCTTTTAAAGTGATTTTGAAAACTTTTAAAATAAAAAAACTATAAAATAGTATAAAACAGTACGCTATCACATAATATTTTATATTATCTTTTCTATTTTTATAAACATATAGTATTGTGAAACTTGTATCACGTTTTATGTTTTCGAAATACTAAGCGTATTTAAAAGTGATAAATTGTAAAAGATGATTTAATAAATTATTTAAAATAGATAAATGATAAATTAATTAATTAAAAAAAACTTTTAGAAATACTAAACATTGAGAAGGTTATGAAATTTTTTTTTATCAAATAAAAGTTAATGAAAATTTGATGAGACAAATGTGATTAGGGATAAGCATTGAAACTGGGTAGGGTCCCTTAGAATATCTAATTTCATAACCAAAACCATCCGTTTTGGAATCGGAACTGTTTAAGACGATTCCAGTTACGATACCGTCTTAAGCAGTTCCGGTTTCGATTCCCATTTTTTGGAACCACTACCTGTCGTAACCGGTTATATATATATATATATATATATATATATATATATATATATATATATATATATATATATATATATATATATATTCCAATAAGTATTGTGTGCATGGATGCACCAATCACAATTTAGCAAATTATTAATTATTTTATTAAATATGTAAGGGTAATTATGTAATCTTTCATTTTAATTATTTATTTAGTCTGATTGTTATCCCTTTATATTAGGCAATGATTATGACCGATTTACTTATCATTAATTTAATTTTCTTTATATATTCGATTGAAACATCCCCCACACACAGATCACAAATATCGATTTCATTATCTGCTCATTACTTTGTTTTACACAATCAATGGATGTTCATATTGGAAATTGGAACCAGGTATTCATTTTTGTTCTTTGATGTTTATATGTTTTTATTGTTTTTACATATACATATGTATCAAATCTGTTAATCTTGCAGGATAATAAAGATCAGAATCCCGGGAAGGATCTGGGTAATGTCAATGATCCCAAGAATCTAGTGAATGAAGTTGTGAAAGAAAAAAAAAGATGTAAAATATGCTTTGGACTTGGTCATGATAGCATGAACTATCCTTTTGGATTGAAGAAAGCATAGAACTACAAGAAATTCATCAAATTGGACGTTTTTAGATATTATTAAGTTTGATTTCAGTAAAATAAAAGTCTGTTTTGATGAACTATATGGTATTATTAAGTTTCATTTCAGTATAATAAAATTATGGTTTGATGAATTCTACGTGTTTTTCTAATATATTTATATTTACAACCAATAAAGTGTTTGTGTTTTTCTGATATATTTATGTTTCATAGAATGATCCAGTTATCATTCCAACATAATGTCAAAAAAAAAAAAACGTTACAGTTATCATTCCAATAGAATGTCAAAAAAAATATTCATTTTATTTCATAAAATATGTTTGACGGTTTCATAAAATCAAAACACATAATGTCAAAAATAAAATGTGTAAACAATAAGCAATACAATGACTTGAACTTAAACAGTTCAAGAGTTAACTGTCTTGTAAGCCATATTACTATAACATTCTAGTGGAATGATTTGGAGATAACACACAGTAAACACTTTAGTTAGCCGTATTGCTATATTATTATAATATAATGATATGCCGACAATACAATGTGCAGAGTTTTATAAGCAATGTTTATACATCTTATCAGCCATATTCTTACAATATTCTGATAGAATGTTTTCGGGGTAACACACAGTGATAAGTTTTATAAGTCATATTGCTAGATTATTCTGATAGAATTATTTCGTGAATAAAATAATATGCAAAGTTTTAGAATCCATATTGATATATCATTCTGATAGAATTATTTCGTTAATAAAATGTTGTGCAGATTTTTTTTTTAAAAAGTACATAATAATATTGTAAAGTAATTAATTTAATGTCATGTTGAAATGTTTTATATTTGGAATATGAATAGAGTATGTTTATCAATGATCCCTAATATCACGCCTTTTAATTTGCATAGACTCCATTTTCATCCCTGTTTCTTTTCTATGTCAGTTTATTATATTTTATTTTTTCAACTTCCAAAGCATATAGAAACACTCTCGAAATTTCTTAGGTATGGGCGATCAAGTACCAGATGTCAATAATCATATTTATGAGGAACATTATTTGGCTAGTGATGATGAAAATGGAATTGAAGATTTCGTTTTTCCTGATAATGATACACTATATAATGGCGGATTTCAAATAGAAGAAAGCAGTAATCCTAATTTAGGTGAGTTTTTGAAATTTTTGTTTAATTTTTCATTGTATTTCAGATTCTATCTTGTAACAAACATGTTTAATATTAAATGTTAATATTTTCATTGATGAACATACAGAGGACGCAAATCATGCAGAAGACGAAAATCAGTTCGTTGATGAAGATACACAGGTTAATATTGATTTCAGTAAAGGTAGTAAATTCAATTCAGGATATTGAAATTTTTACAGAATAATAAAATTCTTTCAGAATAATATTTATAAAATTCTTTCATCATTCACCCCCGGAAGTCGATGAAACTGACTCATTGTTAAAGAATTGGTATCAACGGGTGTACTATAATTGACATCTTTTTCTACATTAGCTTCATTAACTATCAATCCTCTAACAGGTGAACTATTTCCTTCACCGCCATCACCTATATCATTCATATTTAACTCATTATAACCCTCCGGCTCATGCACTTTTTTGTTGTTTGCCCCTTCATGCACTTCCATAAAAAGCTCATTCATCTTTTCCATCCACTCCTTCAGCACCACACTATCAGGGAATTTTTCCAAACCATCCTTCAACGCAACTTCCATAGTACTTTTTTCGGTTAGAGTTAACCCATAACTATGCTCTAAAACAGCAGCGTACGCCTTCAATACATATAATTAATTATTAATTACATTACAAGAATATTTCAACAGCTTTAATATGAGAAATGTATAGACAATTTAGTAGTATTCCAGAATATTTAATTTATATTCTACCAGAATATAAATTCAAATATTAATTACAATAATTACAAATGAACTAAATATGCAAAAAAAAAATTACTATTACCTCCTCATCTCCAAAATCCCTCTTAAAACTGACCAATTGTTGCTCTTCACCTCCTGTTTCATCATTCATATCGACATCCTCATGCTCATCCCGAAATTGCCTCCCGAACCCTCCCAAACTGATTTCCAAGCGTTGAATCTCTAATAAATTAGCACCAGTAATATGCCCAATAAAAGGAAGCCTTTTATCTAACTTTATAGAATACTTCATGTTATACACGTACACCAACTACAAAAAAAACATTAACTTAATCAATAAATCAATAATAAATTACTACCAAATCAATATTATCATATAACACAATTTCACACTTACTATCAGGAGTGTAATAGGACCACTGTAGTAGCTTGATTTGTCATCACTTTTCCATAGTTTTTTCCTTGATCTCAAATAGTCAAGCATATATTTACACCAATTTAACTTTGAGAAGTCTTCTACCAACACCAACTTCCTTACCACTTTTATTTGATTTGTTCTCATCAACATTGACTCAATGAAGTTGTTAACGAAAAGGGTCAAAAAATTAAGCCTAAACATCAAACTATCTTTTGTTGTAGCCTGAATCCTTCTTAAATACTCCTCACCATTGAACTTATCACAAGTATATTGTCCCCTCTATTCTTCTAGAATTTGATTCCCCTTATCACACAATGGCAACTCATTGATGTCTTCTCCACCAATTGGCAACCCCATCATATCATGCACTTTCTGTTCTGTGATCTATATAACAAAGTTTTGTAGGACAAGTCTTCTACTATCGGCATCATACACATCTAAAAGATAGTAGCTTAGTTGCCCCGGATAACTTGTTATATTCACTTGCAGAATTGACCCAAACCCCATTCTTAAGATTGCTTGTTTTTGTTCCGGTGACATGCCCCTAACAGCTGCAGTGATGTTATCACATTTCATTCTGGTTGGAAGATTTCTTAAACCAGGTGGATATTCCTTACTTGTTTTTCTAACATTATCTTCTTGTTCCTCTTTGATAGATTCATCAATTCCCTTATTCTTTAAATTTTTTACAATTGGAACTCTCTCATATTGTCTCTTTGACCTTATCTCTCTTTCCAAAAGTACTACATTTAAAGGTTTAGGACTTTTCTTTTGTGGAACTGATTTATCAAAATTTTTCTTTGACCTTCTTTCTCGTTTCACGTGTTATTCTTGTTCTTGTACTTGTTCTGCTATAACACATAATAAATATTAGAATGTATAGTATAATATATTCAATACATGAGTAAAACACATTACTTTAATTAATGTTTTAAAATATAAGATATTATTCTTATTCCAACAGAATAAAAATTTATTTCAATAACACGAATATAATATACACAAAATTGCCATTCTAACAGAATACAAAAAAATGCCAGAATAAACAAAAATTCATAGAACTGCAATTCTAACCGAATATAAAAAGAAACTACCAGAACATCATACATGTCATTTTGATGCATAATCAACTGAACATTGAAATACTTATATTAATACACATATTTGTATTCTATTAGAATATACTACATATAAAGTCTATCAATCTACAAAAATTATAAATGTTTCAAATTAACTCGTAATTCTAACTTAATAAAAATTTAATAACAAAGAGTAAACATACTTTACACATTGTTGCAA